GAGATGGACTTTACTACTGAAGGATCTGTCATTATCTCAGCACTGTTATGGTCAAAAGGGAAGTCATCAGTTTTACATTATTATTTCCCACCTTCACCTATTTCTGGCCACTATGATCAATTTCACGCTTGGTTTGAAATGATGGCACTTTATTTGAAGTGACTGTGAGGATTTCTTGTCAGCCTATGATCAATTTCATGCTTCATTTGACTTGGCTTGTCACATCATTTAGGCTGCTTCTTCACTACAATGCAAAGTAGGAATATTTTAATAGGATTTCATTTGTTTTGTATGTAGAAGGAACACAAACATGTACAGAGGGCGTTGCTATAAGGACTTTTTGACTTCAGTTTATAGCGACACTGGAGTGGTGGTGTTGCTATAGAGATGGCAGTCCATTAAGTTTGTCAAGTCTGTTCAGTCCAGACTGAAACATCCCAGTTATCAGACTAAACTCCTATAATTTGGTCTGAGCATTTTAGGTTCTAAGTGGCTGAATGCTAACTTTGGTGAACCTTTGACTTTTCCGGCTGTTCAATCAATTTAGTTGATGAACAGGTACCTCTGTAACTAATGAGGACATTCCTTTCAGCTACTAACATGTTAGTATGCTTACATAATAACAATATAAATGTTAATTGTATGTGTGAACTAATATTAGCATATTAGCGTGCTAAGCTTAATATTCTAACATCCAGCCCAGTGCATAGTTGAGACAAAGAACAGTTTAGACAGTTGAGCCTGAAATATAGAGCTCAATCTGAAATGTTCTTAGAAACCCCATCCAATGAAAATCAAATTTTTAACCTTGATAACATGTTTTTTATATAATACAAGACATATCATGAGTATTTCCACCTTGAACTGCAGTGAACCAATGACAGTCTCATGAAAACAGATTCAGACAGCCAGGGTTTCATACGTCACAAAACTAAGGAACCAATCCTCTCAACTTGTGGGGACGGGGGGCGGGGCTAAATAAACCTGAAACCTTGTCAGTACAGAGAGAGAGAGTTAGCATTAGCACAACCACTAACACTGTGTCAGCCACTGCCAATTACAAGCTAACACACAACATAAACAAATAAAAGATGCTAACTATGCTAACCGTTCTGATAAGTCTGCTAGTCTCTCATTCTGGTCTCAACAGACTCCTCATCTGAGTCTGGGTCTGACTGAGGCTCAAACATGTTTCCTCCTCTGACCATCTTCATACTCTCTGCTCTTTCACCTGTCCAGCTGGAGCAAGCAGGTGGTGGGCGGGACACAAGGCCTGACCTAGAATCTCTCAATGAGGAAGTAAGAGGAGATGAGCTTCAGACCTAGTTTTGATTTTTTTTTTTTTTTTTTTTTTTTTTTTCACTTTTTTTGTGTGAAAACCATGTTAAACAAAAAAACATGTCTGGAGAGGAACTTCAATAATTCAGTCTTTTTTCAGTCAGTTGGGGCTCTTCAGCCAATTGCTACTTGCTTAGGTACAGCCAGCAATTTATCAGATTTCACGTGGCTCCCTATGGAAAAAGGTTTTATATAGGACAGGTTTGGGTCTCAGTTTTAGGCTTGTGTAGAACTACAATATAATTTAAATCACTGCAAAGGCTTTGGACAAATTGCATTCAGCTTTCCCTTTTTGTCTCTGTTACCATTTTAAATGAGAAGTGCCAACGAACAAACAAGCTAATACTGCAACTAATGGAAAACTCTGCAGGAGCCATTCCTCAGTATCAATAACAGGAACATGGGATAGCCTTTTGCACTGAAGTGACATCATCCCCTGAGGCCACACACTTTATGAACGTGATCCGTCATCTCTTTTCTCCTCCCAACTGCGTCGACTTTGTTTTGGTGAAAGTGATGAGTCACCGATTGTTCTCAGTAGTCCTCTGATGATGTTATCTAACTCACCTTTACTGCTGTTCTTCTGGCCACTTGCAGCAGCTCTAAGAACATGCGACTGTGAGAGAAAGAAACACTGAAAATTGCAACCTCTCTCTGCTCAGTCATGGATCTAATTGTGGTGGGGTTCTTGCCTCTGTCAACGTCTCCGAAATTAGCTCTGGGCTCTGTGGGTCAGCAGGGGTGCACCGATAAACTTAGATTGTATTTTACTTCTGCTCATGTGATCATTAGAGGAAGAAAACAGTTTTTGAACTGCCTCCTCCGATTTCCTGATTTGTGACTTACCGGGCAGTGAGCCGTTCATCCATGAAAGCTCACTGATAGTGGACAAACCTCAAAGAGCAGATGCTCGAGGAACGGTAGTGTCTGTCAAGGTAATGATAGATTTGTGGCACCCAAAGACCACATAGACATTTTTTATATTCGTTGACAACCTCTCTGGATGCTGACATCATGCACCACCTCCCCCCATCCTGTCCAAAGATACAAGTCTTTCAACCCTGGTCCTATTTGATCCAATGGAAATAAGAAACAGCGTGTTGTATCCAGGCAACAAGTTTGTTGCCAGGTGACAGATACAGAGGTCCTCAGACCAGAGACCGCGTGTAACACTTCCACATGAATAAGACAAGGCAGAACATCAGTCGCCTCCTGCAACTGGAATATCTTTGATAATCCTGCTTTGATCGCCTTTACCATTAAAGCAAACAATACAAGTCTGTTTGTCGTCATATGAACAGTAAACTACCTCCTTCTTCTTCAGTGGTAACACATGCAATAAACCCTACACATGAGCAGATGAAGTGACAGTAAAACTCAATTGCAGGAAGCTGATCTCCGCACCTTTCACCAACCTTAATCAGCTTGCCTAATTGCCGAACGGAATCATGATGTACACAGTGAAGGCTTATCAGAAAAGACATATCCGCCAGCAAATATGAAAACAGCCATAAGTGGTGGGATTATCAAACGTATTCCTGCCAGAATGCCGGGGCCTTTCATGTTGCAGCCATGAGCAGAGATAATGATCATTTCCAAGGCGCTTCAGCTGACAAATCCACTGTCACCATTAAAGGCTTTCATTCTCCCCTGGAGCTGTGGGGCGACTGTATGCTTTTATTTTGATTCAGATGCAGCTGCTTCAGTGGAAGCACATTTGTTTAAAAACGAAACTGTGTGCTAGTTTATGGACCCTGTTGTACATGGAACTTTAAAGCTGCACTAATTGAACACCAGAATTTCCCTTAACTCTTTTTTAGCTTTTTAGCCTCTTTTAGCTCATTCTTTTAGTTTTACGGCAAAAAAAACTGCTTTCATTAACCCTGTTTTCAGAAGCATCAAACAGCGGATGTTTTATTTAAGCAAAAAAAAAATGCTGATTTGTTTACTTTACGGTAATAATTGAATAAGGTGATAATATATCAAAAGTATTTACAGCTTATTCCTCTACCGGAAAAATCAGTTGATGCAGCTTTAAATAACACATTTTCTTAGTCTTCATAACACTTTATTTTACAAGTCAGTAAATCCCTAATAATTTCCTAGCAAGTTTTAAGGTAATAACCATGTAGTTTGGCACTAATTATAGGTAATTATACAGTGTTTAAATTGTGCTCTTGCAGTTATTTAATTCCAAGTAATTACTAAGCTAGGCTAACCTACAGTAGCGTGTTTTAGTGAACAGCAACAAGTTAGCAAAAATCTGCTATTTGTATACAAGAATACAATTCCACATATATGGAGAATAAAGTTACAAATAACAAATGAACGATCAATATTTACCATTTGCAGTTTTTTAGTGAAATTCCTCTGGAAATCCACAATAGCTTATAAATTTATTCCAATAAACTATCTACATTGTCTTCATTTTCTTGATAATTACTACCAAATTACACAGTTCATGCCAACAAACTTTCAATAAATTATAATAAAATAACAGAAATAATCCATAAACTAAAGCTTTATGAATAATTATGTCTGATATAAAGATTTTTTATGAACCAATTTTGTGTTTCCATTGTGTAAATTCAGTCTTGTAATGGGATGAACATGAATTAATGTTTCGGTGAAGTTCATGCTGCGCTGCCACCATAATCAGACCTTTGCTGCCATCCACCTATTGTGTCTGGTAAATGCAAGAATAAAGCTTTATTCAAAAAGATAGAGATTGTGCAAACCTGCCATGGTAGTGGTGTATCGCAGCTGATTAGAATGACTGTCATTGTACCAAAGAGCAACGTTCATCAGTGTAGACGAGTGTGAAATTAGGATCAGCCACAAACTGAATAATGAATCCACCTATCAGTACACATGCTCATGAGTTCCACAAAACACAGTCAACGATTGTCATAGGAACTATTTGTTTGGTCAGTGGATTATGCAGAGTACGCAGGACATTGTGTCTGCTACCTTTTACATCACAGTGCAGTGTCTGCTGTCACTGATGATACAATATATTGTGCTGCAATTTATTTTAAGATCAGTCAAGTGAATATCATTCTCATTCAAATGCAGTAGAACTGCAAGGGCCGCTGTCTGTACATGTTATTTCATTACCTCATTCCATCTTTTTTAAGCTTTATTTTTTTTCTTCTGATGTAAGTTTATTATTTATCTTTCTTACTTTAATTTCTGGGTCAGTCTGTTTTTGATATTAAGAGTACACTTTTGTCTGGTATATAGTAACTTCCATCACATCTGGTAAGCATTATTTTTTTCAAACATATCTAACATTTTCATCCATACCTAACATTCTATTCAACTGCTTTTTGTATTGTGTTCTTTTATTTGGTTGTACTTACTTCATCTTGTTGTTAAACTTTAGGTTGTCTGTCCGTGTAGGAAATAGTGTCTGCCATCTAGTGTACAACCTTCTGCATTACAATACCTTTTAAACTAGTATTTTGTCTTGTGGTTTTCTGACTTTATATTATGTATGAAAACAGATGTCATGATATACAGCCCCACAATTTAGTCCTGGTTCATATCCTGGCATATCAGACTGAATCTGTACCTAATGCCAAAAAGTAACTATAATAATTATTTTTCTTATGAGGAACATGAAGGAAGGCCAGTGTACAAACCACCTGTAATTTTACCCAAGTCACCTTTATTTATTTCAGACACAATTAAACGAATGAATCAAACAAGACCTTGTGATGAAAATTATAAGATTAGATTTGACAATCAACAACATATATTTTGCAACAATTTAGGTAAGTTTTTGATAGTTTTGATTTAAAGGCAAACAACATTTGCATCACAAATCAAACCAACATGTAAGTCTTACTCAGTTTATGTCTGATGAGATCTAATACATGCTGTATCAAACAAAAACAATATTTTAAATTCCCCTTTTATTGCTAAGGTAGAAAAGGACACTCAGGTTTCATTCTGTATTCATCACATATACAGTGCTTTCAGTGTTTCATGTTAACATTAGTCCAAGTCATCTCAGAGGTCAAACAGTCCTCAGAAGACCTCCAGGTCAGCAGAGTTGTAGACCACTGCTGTCTCCTCAGTCCCCACAGCAGCTTCCTCCTGCCCCTCCTCTTCCTCTTCCGCAGCCTCCTCCAATGACTCCAAGGCCTCATTGGTATCACTGGCGAAAGTCTCCCTGGAGACGTCGTCGTGCTCCTGCAAGTTAAGTGTGCCGATGGCCTGCTTCATCTTCTTGGCCACCATGTGCCGCCTCCTCTTCTGAGCAGCTTTCTTGCTCTTGTACTCTTTCTGGTGTTCCTCAAAGAATATCTTTCTGATCTGGGCCTTGGTGATGCTGGGCGTGTTTTTCAGCAGGTTGAGATACACCCCACCAGGTGTTCGTCGCCTGCTACCATCCATGGTGTATACTCCGCCATTTTCCTCCAGCGTGGCAGTCTCGCCAAGCAGTTCTATGGCTTTTTTCTTTCCAACGACTGTAACAACACGTTCTATCAGTTCTTTTTTAGGCTCTTGCAGCCTGTGTGCTATCTCATCTATCACTTTATCCTCAGGGTCATCCTCTGTGATTTCATACCGGCCCTTGATGTCCATCTCAGCTCTGGGGCCCAGTCTGTCTTTAGCTGCTCTCTTCCTTTTTGCATCACATCCTGCACTCTCCTCTGACCCCCGGCCCTTCATGTAGTCCTCCAGCTGGGAATCCAGCATGCTCACCTCTCCTTCATCCTTAGACTGCCTCTCCACCTCCCTCTCCTTCTCCATTATCTTACGTGCCAGGACAAAGTTATAAGTCTCCACATTTCTGCTGGACATGCTAACTTCACCTTCCATGCCAAATATGCCAAGCTCTGCAGTTATGGCTTCCTGGCACTGCTCCTGGACCACAGAGCCCCAAATGTTGTTCACCTTGCGGCCTGCCAGGACGCTAGGCACGGGCAGGCGCGTAGGACCTGGCCGGGTGGTGCAGGCAGGTGGCTGGGGAGCGTTGGACACTTTCTGGCGCTTCCGACGCCAGACAGCCGCCTCCTCGTCCGACGACTCCGGGTCACTGTCGCTGGACTCCACCGTGCGGTAGGCGGCTGGTGGAGGCTGGGCGGCGGCTCTGCTCTGGAAGGACTGCCCGCTGAAAGCTGGAACAATTTGAGGTCGGCCTTGTGCTGCTGCGGTTCCCATCTCAGTATCCGAGCCGGACCCGGAGATCTCCCCATCTTCCAGATCACCGTCCATTAGATCTCCGCCATCCGCCATTTCTTGTCTGGAAGCCACATCAAAGATAACGGCTGTTAACTGCTGTTTCAATGCATCACCTAAAGTCAGGGCTACTAATTAGCGATAACAGCTAACTATACACCATGAGCAGCTAACGATACAACAGAGCTTAATATTAAACCTGGCAAAGAATTGAACAACTTAAAAAAAATAAATACCGTCAGATGTCTGACACAGCAGCTCACTTTCTGCTCTGTATAAACTTCTGTTTTAGTCTTGCTCGGCTCTTCCACTCACTGTGAACTGCTATGATGAGGTTAACAATCAATAGGGAAACTTGAAAGACCCTCAGAAGAAAATTCGCGCTAGGCTAAAGTCACACTTCCGTCTTACAACTGTCACACCCTTTCAAAATAAACGTGACCAAGGAAGAATTTTCATCCAGTAGTATTTCAGGTTTTGCTTTTGTCAGTATAACGTTTGTTTATTTTAAGATTATCATTGTATTTATTTATTATATTGGCTTTTAGTCTTTAAGGTTTTTATTGTTGTAATAAAATCATCCTGCCGGATGTTGTGTACTGATTGCATCAGTGAAAAACCGCACTTGCGCAGTGTGACAGAAACAATATGGCGGCGTCCGTACAACGTCTCACGTCTGCTGGGAGATATCTCCTTCAAAGACATTTATTAAAGAAAAATTCTTTAAGTACGGTAAGATGAATGTGTTAACAGTCATATTTGTGATATGATACTCCCTCGACAGTTCCTTGACAGATGTCAGTGTACAGTTTCACGGAGCAAAACCTCCCGGCATGGCCTGTCAGGCTAAGTGTTTGCTAAAGTTAGCTAACAACTACGTCATGCTCGGCTATTCCAAGATGAATTCTTTAAGTATTGTTTGAAGTTTTTCCTATGTAATTCTGTGAAACTATTGACGAGAAAGTGAAATTATTGACCGCTGGCAGGTGACTGGTAACAACTGACGTCAGTGTCCTAAAAGCGAAGTGTCATCATGACTGTTAGTTAATTCCCATCTTTGCTCCGCCTCTCCAGCTCTCAGTTGGACCTCACAGACTCTTGGCTACCCAGGCTGCTCACCAGGTGGCTCTTAATGTTCCTGAAACCAAGGTGACCACTTTAGAGAACGGACTCCGGGTGGCTTCTGAGGACGCTGGACTTACCACCTGCACAGTAGGTTAAAGGTTACCTCCCTCATAAACAAACACGCAAGAGAAGACACGTATTTATTTATTTTGTTCAGCTGTGATAGCTATGCTATGAGGGACCTGCTTTGTGTGAATTGAAATACCTTATTATTAAGCAATATCACCCGATTGGGAGTGATGTTATACTCAATATCAGCACGACTTTTATACAATAGTTCTATGAGCGCCATATTAATTAAATAAGCAAAAACGGATAATGATTTGTTTGTTTGTTTGTTAATGGTTAATAGAATGCCTGTGAATTGGAGTGATAAATGTAGTTAAAAGTCCCAGTGCCGGTGTACTCTATATCAGCACTCATGGAATGCCTCTCTTCCAATCAAATTACGTGGTCAGAACTAACTGTTGTATAAAGATAATCATGATAGCCTTTAGTTTTTAAACCACATATTTATATTTACTCAGATGCTTTTATCCATAGCAACTTACAAGTGAGGGACAACACTGAAGCCTCAGAGCTGTAGGAGACCTTGGTGTAAGTACTAAGTACTACATCTGTTCAATAAGTGCAAGTAGAACAGGTAAAGAAGTGCCCAGAAAGTGCATAGTAAGTGCTAGTTAGGCATGTTAGGGTGTTAGAGGTGTTAGGAAGAGTTGTTCTTGAAGATAGAGAGAGATGCCCCTGCTCTGAAAGCATTCAGTATCTTGTTCCACCATTAGAGATCCACAGACAAGAACAGTATGGACTGTGATTGCTTTATTTAACTGCTAGACTAGAAATGTAACGTTAAGACCCTGTCTACCCCAAACTCCTTTCCATCATCAAATAATGAAATTCAAAACATTAGTCAATACATTAGTGCACACAGTTTTTCAAAATGCTTAGCAGGTAGGTTTTTGCAAGCATCTTGTGTCTTCTGTCTCTTCATGTAATCCCAGACTGACTCCATCATGTTGAGATAATGGCTCTGTGGGGGTTGTAGCATCTGGTCCTTGTTCTCCTTGCTGCTGAAGATAGTTCTTTATAACTCTGACTGTCTGTTTGAGTGTGTTGCCATGCTGCAGAATGAATTTGGGACCAATCATTTACATTTACTCATTGGCAGATGCTTTTATCCAAAGCGACTTACAAGTGAGGAACATCAGATTATTTAATTTGTAATTAAACTTGTATGTTGGTTTGCAAGTGTCTGCAGCATAAAAATCATCCAGCCAATTTAAAGAATAGTCTCATTCCACTGTTTGCTGGTTGGTAAATGTTGTAAACATAAAGAGAAGAAAGAATAGCAGAGACAGGTCAGGAAGTCAGACAAAATATTGTAATATTAAATATTGTAACATTTCCAGAGATGTGTGTCCATTGCAAGGTTGCATGTACAAGGTTCTCAAGAAGTTAAAGATTTAGGTGATAAACACAGTGGCTATGTCACTAAAATGTGTTACTTCCCCAAAATTTGGTAGTTCAAGTCAAGTCAAGTGCCTAAAAACATTTAGTTTCAGAGTCTAGCTCCATCAACACAAAACACATATACCTGAGGGACGCTACCTCAGGTATATGTGTGAAGTTATGGTGCGGTAACAGTGTGTGGATATAATCACTGAATATTAATCACTGACATTTCCCAGGTGGGGCTCTGGATAGATGCCGGCAGTCGCTATGAGAACGAGAGAAATAATGGCACAGCACACTTCCTGGAACACATGGCATTTAAGGTGAGATGGCAGGAGTGCAACAATATTTTACTACTGTTAACTGGACTTACTGGTTTGTCTTTAACTGTTTCTTATCAATTATAAAGAAAACAGTTAATTGTAGTTCTTAGTAAATGAATCTGTCTGTAATGATGCAAAACATATTACAAGGTTTCTTCACCTGTGTGTGTGTGTGTGTGTGTGTCAGGGCACCAGGAAACGGTCCCAGCTCGATCTGGAGCTGGAGATTGAGAACATGGGGGCTCACCTGAATGCCTACACGTCCCGGGAGCAAACTGTGTATTATGCCAAAGCTTTCTCTAAGGATCTGCCACGAGGTACAGTACAACAGAACACAGCAGAGCTGAATGTCAGAGTGAGATTAAGGCCTCACTGAGATGTAGAAATGACCATGAATGATGAGAATCCACCCATGTCAGTTCTCTTCACAGAATTGCATATTAGATTTAATATTCAGAGCATCACTTAACATGGTAGATCCCAGAATGCAATGCAGCCACAAAACATGTTGGGCTTCTGGTAAAAATGATGTCAGCAAGTTCTGGAAAAATCATTAAAAAAAATAAAATAAAACAAGGCTCTCACTCTTACCACTTTTAAGAAAAAACTAAAGAAACTAAAGAAAATTCAGACGGATCCTCTGGGGGGTTATCAGAAGGCATTCTGGGAAATGTAGGAAATCGTAGACTGAGGTTGATGAATGTTAAGTAAACCAAACAGTAAATTACACCATATTACATAATAGCACCTTGCATGTACTGAACATCATTAACAAATGTGTTTGAATAATGACAAAAAAAAAGTTTCTTTTATCCAATTCAAATATTTCCTGTGTTTTTGTCTCAAGCTGTGGAGATCCTGGCTGACATCATCCAGAACAGTACGCTGGGTGAGGCGGAGATCGAGAGGGAGCGAGGGGTCATCCTCAGAGAGATGCAGGAAGTGGAGACCAATCTACAGGAAGTGGTCTTTGACTACCTGCATGCTACAGCGTATCAGTCCACAGCTTTGGGCCGGACCATCCTGGGCCCCACCGAGAACATCAAGTAAGACCGTGCATTCATTTTTAATCCACAACTGCTTTGATTTGTGGTGATGAAGTCTGGCTTTTCTGCTGGAGACTGACTTAAGAAATGTTCTGAATATCTTTCTTTGTTTGTGCTGAAGGACCATCAACAGAGGAGACCTGGTTGAATATATCACCACTCACTACAAAGGCCCCAGAATAGTGCTGGCTGCTGCTGGAGGTCAGAGCTGTTTATCTCCTCACCTTAGGTTAATACGAGTCGATGTGTTAGTTTGATATGAACCTATAAAACAATATGAATTAGACAAATGGAAAAGATAGGAATCTTGGTGTTGGTGTGATATTCCTGTTGATTTTTCATGAACTCACAACGCAAACCACAGTCATGAATTCAAACCAAAACGAAATGTCACTTCAACATTGTACTTTCTGACCTGCTGGGTATTTCTGTGATCTGTGTTTAATTAGGAGTTTCACATGATGAGCTCATCGATTTGGCCAAGTATCACTTTGGAAAACTTCCTGGCAGGTATCAAGGTGAAGCACCTGCGCTTCCCCTCTGCCTCTTCACAGGAAGTGAGGTAAGGTCAAGTCTTCAGGCTCACACCACACATTGTTATTGTGTTCTAGGCCTCGGCTTTTAAAATTCAATCTTGTCATGTGAAATGTTTTTTAGTATTTTGAAAATTTTAAATGTATTATTTACTCTCATTGTCTATTATTAAATGAAAAAAAACATATAATAGACAATAGATAGATAGAGATAAAAGACGACTGTATTATTTGTCAGGGAAGGACAGTGTAATAATTACACCAATGACTGTGTCTTTCTGTTGCTTCAGATCCGCGTGCGTGACGACAAGATGCCCCTGGCTCACATCGCCATCGCTGTGGAGGCAGTTGGATGGTCTCACCCTGACACCATCCCCCTCATGGTGGCAAACACGCTCATTGGAAACTGGGACCGCTCGTTCGGTGGAGGCGTGGTGGGTACTGGTGAAACTGGCACAGAGTGACTCAGCTCTAATTTAACGTTCGGTTCAGATTTCTTCCTCCAAGCTGCACTAGAGAGTTTAAATACCCCAAATTAATTCTTGTAAATGATGCCACACCGTTTCTTCTTTTTTTGCTTTTTCTTTGTAGATGTATTGTGTTGTGCAAATATCTTAGGATAGGGGGGTTTTGTTTTGACAGCAAAATTTCTAGAATACAAAGACCACATCATTAAAAGGTACACACATACACACACGGTCAGCCACTGACTAAACACATAAATTGCCAGTTAAATTGACTTTTCTCTTATATCTTTGAGGATTTTTACACAGGACATAGTTTTTTTTGTTCTTGTGGTAATAATGTTACTTTGAGTTGACATAATTAGTACTGTGAGGAAAAGTAAAGTACTGACCACTTGTTATGTCAGAATTAAGATTGGAAGGAGATTGTGAAATGAGAAACTGTTTTCATCAAACAAAATAATTTTCCTATAATTCTGATAAAACATTTTATTATTTAATTTTATTGTTATTTAAATTGTATTGTGAATTCTTTTTCGACTATCTGTTCATGAATTGTTTTTAATATGTTTTTTAAGTTCGTTCAGGTCTTGCTTGAAAATGAGATTTCTATCTCAATGAGATTCACCTGAATGAATAAATAAAGGTTAATCATTTCTAATAGTGTATTTTTAAACAGACAGCACACACAGCTCAGGTCCTGCTTCAGTGTGTTCACGTCCCTGTCGGGTTCTGTCCTTTGTGAATCCAGAACCTGTCCAGTAAACTGGCTCAGATGGCCTGTCAGGGAAACCTGTGCCACAGCTTCCAGTCCTTCAACACTTGCTACACGGACACAGGCCTGTGGGGGCTCTACATGGTGTGCGAGCCCGGCACCATCAAGGACATGATGCACTTCACTCAGATGGAGTGGTAAGTACACTCACATACACTGTAGAGAGGGTTTGACCCATAAATGCTGAGTTTGTCTAACTGTAAACACACTGCTGAAAGTTTGTGTTGGGATGAAGAATGTCGTTGTTCCCTGTCAGGATGTCTCTTTGTACGAGTGTGACGGAGAGCGAGGTGGCTCGGGCAAAGAATCTGCTCAAGACCAACATGCTCCTGCATCTGGATGGTAAGACAGGGTCACGTCACTCAGCGCTGAAGATCAGTGAGGCATAAGGTCACGTGGGTTTTAATGTCGACTTATTTATTTATTCTCCAGGATCCACCCCCATCTGTGAGGACATTGGCAGACAGATGTTGTGCTACAGCCGCAGGATCCCTCTGCATGAGCTGGAGGCCAGAATTGATGTGAGTGGACACGGTTTTGTTTTATCACTCACTAAAAATACACACGGTTCCTCAATTTCAAAGCTTTTCAATGACTTCCAGTTTCATATTAGGTAAGAATCCAAGGCATTAAAATGATATTAAATGTCAAAAAGTGCTCCTCAGACTGTTTAGGAATATTGATGAATTGATGTGGAGGCTGATTATTTTGCCAATATTTTTTGCCATTTTGACGCTAAGGAACTTTTTCTACATGGGACTCTTCAATATTAAGTCCAAACCTTGTGATTTTCTTAGTCCTGCTGGTCCTGTTCAATTAAACTGCCTGATGGCTCATTGGTTTCCAGTTCACAATCATCCTCACTCAACCTTCTGGTTGGAGAGTTGTGGAGGGAAATGGTTGCAGTGTCTTACATTTTGTTGCCCCTCAACAGGCCATCGACGCCAAGACCATTAAGGACGTGTGCACCAAATACATCTACAACAAGGCTCCTGCCATCGCAGCAGTTGGTACGTTGATGATTTTTTTTTATTTTTAAATCAGAGATTTAGAGAGACATGCATTAGTTTAAATTGTACTCTGTGGCAGATGAGACAGCTTAAATTTGTCCTTTTCTGTGCACCAGTGATCATACCTTTTTTTTTTTTTTTTCTTTAAAAAAAAAAATCATACTGACCACAGATAATTTGGTCTTTTCACGACTCAGGGACAAGATGTTTTTTACCAGGTGTCAACTGTCTTTGACAGCGACTCCTGTGCTTTGAGACAGGTCATGAGTTCATTATTTGTGTGTTGCATATTATTTTGAAATGTTCCTATACACAAATAGAGAGATATACACTGACCTGACACCATATTTGAACTTTGATCATTGCCAGAAGCTCAGTGTCACTTGAAGAAGTAGTGTCATGTCTTCAAGTGGACACTTGATTTTTTGACTTGATTTTCATGTGGATTCATTAGTTTGTAGAAAACACTACACTGTTATCATGATGTATGGCAGCGGTTCCCAAAGTGGGGTCCTTGAGGGAGTTCCTGGCAGGATATTTGACTATTCTGGTCCTGGGTTTCAAATTCAAACACACAGGGGTTTAATGTGTGTCAGTTTATTGGCCCTTGATGTGAAAAAGTTTGAGAACCACTGACGTATGGTATCTATACCTGTTGTGCTGTGACTGGATTTAAAGTAAAACATTGTTTTATTACAACTTGGGTTCCTTTATTGTGGATCTGAGCATAATTTCTATCAGTTAATACTGTACTCAGTAATTCAGCATGACAGAGCTACTAAAATAAAACCTGTTTCATGTAGTTTTTGTTTCAAGTGCATTAAATACACCTCGTCTTTGTCTCAGGTCCGATTGAGCAGCTGCCAGACTACAACCAGATCCGCAGTGGGATGTTCTGGATGAGAACCTGAGCACAGATTACCTGTTACCTGTACAGAAGATAAACAGAAACACAGTATTTAAGTCTCGTCTTTAGTATTTTTTCCTCCTTTAATTTTTTATTATAAAATAAAGACCAACACAATAATGTTAAAATAACACAGATACTATTGTCTTTTGTGGTTCTTGTCATTTTTTGCTCTTGGCTGCCACTTGTTCCTGAGCAGCTTTCTTGGCTTTAACCATCTCCACCAGTTCCTGCCAGAGACACAGGGAAGAAGGTTAGAAAACCAGTACAATTATCAGTGTGTCGTTTTCAGTGCTTTTGTATTGTATTGCATTATAACATACTTTTCAGTATAAACAACAATTCAACAGCACCAAACTACCATAATATGACTGTGGAGTTTCTTCTACACTTCTTTAAATAGTTGGGACATTAGCCTTATGAAATACGACAGGACGGTAATAGTTTCATGACTGAAACATTCACAGCCTGACCAGCACATCGTCTTACCTTGTACCTCTTCATACAGTCTTTCTTGCTTCGTCCGGGGACAGCGGCGGCGATCTTCTCCCACCGCTCAGGTGTGCTGACTGGGTAGGTCTTCAGGGCCTGTTCCAGAAGTTTCTGTTCCTCTGTGGTCCAGGGAGCAGCGTTGCCATCACTCCCAGAGGCTGGGCGGAGAAACAACACAGTTACATCGCTATTTTCATAACAGCTCACAGATACTGATCAGCCTGTGAATGTACAATAAGATTTGACTTCTGATGTTGGAGGTCGAAATAATCAAAACAGCATGACATTAATGCAAAAACTGCACCTGTTCACCAAATTATTGTCTGTTGTTGTACCACATTTTATGTTTATCAAAAAACTGCCACCCCTGTGATTTGGTTGTTGCACTGGGCCTTATTGTAATTTCAATATTTGGATTAATAGTTCATACAGTTACAGACGCACTCACCGTCGAATCTCTCTGAGGGCACAGCGTTGTCTATGGAGGGCGGCACTGAAGTGTGCTCCTTCTTGAACTTCTCAAAGGCTTTTTTGTTGATCTGATCTTTCTGCAGCGGATCTGAGGAGACGACATCAACACGACACATTTTAACTCTTTAAAATTAATTTACAATCAGAATTCGTACAAAGCATGGCAAATCATACAGAGTTCAAAAGAAAGATTATATACTATATATGCTACATTATATTTTATTATTCTTTTATAGAAACTAACTACTAATATGTTTTAAATTTCCTTAAGTTTACAGGAGAAAACATTTTTTATGAATGTATGTTATCTGGTCAATGCAAAAAGAAAATGGCAGTTCCAGTTCAGATATACATGCAACCTTTTTTTCCAACGAATACTTCAAGCTCAATGAAAGGTGACTTTGTTCTGCATTCTTCAATAGCCCATCAGAAGCTCTCAATTAGCATGAATAAGCAGCAGTGTATTATGAATAAACTGAAGGAGCAGAAATGCAATACAACCCTGAAGATAATCTGCAGAAGGCCGGTTCTAAACTCACCTAGTCGTTGTAGATTCTTGGCTTTGTTGATGACGTCTTTGGCCGTCCTCTTCATGCCGCTGGTGGAGTGCAAGTTCATGTAGTTGGCAATAACTTCCCATCTGTCAGAGAAATAAAAAGGCAGGACTATTTTATTTGTCTTTTATTTACATAAACTCTGAATTCGCAGTGTATTTAAGCAGGGCTGCAGACAGCAGAAAAATCTGCTGCATCTACCGGTAAGTTACTTGTACAAATAAAAAAGACTCGTATCACAGGACAAATGAAGCAATGGGAGCAAGAAGGAAGAGTAACAGTCAAAGAAAAAGTTTTGTAGAAACATAAAACAATATGAGTATGAATGAAGGAAACCCAGTTGCTGGTGGTTGGGAGAAAATAAACTGGAGCAGCTCCGGGCCAAGTACATGCTTCTCTCTTCTATTCTACTGCGCACAACTAGCCGCTTCGACTGTGACCGTCTACCTGGCGTTGGTTCCAGCAGGAAACAGGTTGACGGCTTTGATGAGCAGCTGGAGGTCGTCCTCGTTCCAGCCCTTCCCCCCGGCTCCTCCCCCTCCGCTGGCCTGGTCGGCGCTGCGAGCCGCCTGCCTCGCCTGCACCTCGGCCTCCCGCTCCCTCTGCAGCTGAGCGTTCACCTCCTGCACCTGAGAGAACAAACACCAACATGTTTGTACACTTCTGAGCACTACACACCATCTCATCACCATGCTAGTCTATCAGTATAAAACTAAATGCAGAAAAAATATATTTAAAAACAAAAATGCTTGATTTTTTTTTTTTTACCTGCTTGTCCACGGCTGTCTTGCTGTCTTCTTTTGAGCCTGAGGCCAAGATTTCATTCAGCGACTGCAGACTGGAAACACACAGGTACCATAAAATACTGTTAAACATCTCCTCAGGGTGACCTTAAGTTTCCATAGTTACAACTAAGATAGTCTCAGATTGACGATGCGTTCGGGGCCCTGATCTACAGAAATGTATCCAAAACAATGTTTAAAGCATTAAAATTCATCTCAGCGATGATGTTGTGACTGTACCTCGTCAGCTCCAGCCTATCACAGAGCTTTTCCACTTCCTCCATCATTTTCACACTGTCAGCTTCATTGTCAGCAAAGTAATTCCAGTTCTGTGAGTGAGCAGAGAGGGTGAGACAATATTAACCAAGATTTCAGGTCTCCTGCGTCTTCACACGACTTCAGGAACGCTTCAGGTGTGACACTGATGGAGATGAACCTTGCATGTGGTCCTGAGTTTCTGCCTCTCCTTCTTGATGGCCTTCTTCTGGATCTCCTTCTCCTTCTTCGCCTGCTGGGCCGCCTGCTTGGCCTCCTCTTCCTCCTTCTCTTTTGCCAAACGAGCAACCTCCAGCTCCGCCTGCCGGGCCTGATGAACACACACAGGAAACCGACTGATGAGCGTTCACCAAAGTGATGACACAGCGTCAAAGCAAACATCAAAACCTTAACCTCAAATAATCTGAAGTTCGAACATCTGTTAAACGTCTTTCTGACGTCAAACATTTTAGCGACATTAATGATTTTGCTCCATTAACGTGTCCCAGTAAATAAATCAAAGTTTGACACAAAATATTCCCTTATCTTAAAGGATATTCAGTGATGTTTTATATTTATTAACTAACTCAACAAATTCTAGTAAAAGATCAAAACCAACAATGAATGTCTCCAACAATTAATGTGTGTGTGTTTGTGTGTGTGTGTGTGTATCAAAACCTGTTGCATCTTATTCATTATTGTCCAAATTAAAAACACGTGAATGAGGCACAGCGTTGCACTGGGTGACATCATCATCATCATCATCATCACCATGAACACACGCACGCTCTAGTTCAGGGTGTCAGCAACTAATTTCAACCATATTTGTCAGCGTTGTTCTCTGGGGGTCAGGGTTTTACAGGTGCTGTGCAAACATGCAGGTTTGTTTTGTTGACTTCCTCCAGGCCTGAGCTTGTGGTACGATGCTAAATTGTAATGTATGTAATATTTATGCTGCTTTGTGTAAAGGGAGATGCAACAGAGACAGTGGCCTGCTTTAGTTGAATGAAAACATCGCTGTTAACACAAACCTAGTACAGTCAAACAGGCTCAAGCGGTTTAAATGGGGTGAATGATTTTATATCTGTATTAACCTTATTTCAGCACTTTTGTATTTCTCTCTCTCTCCGTGTCATAATGACTGCGATTTACACTGTTTTATATTTGCAGTAGAATTTTTTTTTACACAATGTTGATGTAAACTAACTTCTGCTTTTGTCAGGGGGTCAAACATTTCTTTACTGACGGCCCACTGTTCACCTACCGCTGCTCTAGTTTATCTCCACTTAATCCCACATTCACCGTCCTGCTGCTGGAAATACTACAGAACCAAATGTGGATTAACCTGCTGCTTTAAATATCAACCAACAAGGTCAGTGTTTCCTCCTGAGGAACATTTACTAAAAGCTATAGCGTCCAGTTGTATTAAGAAATGACTGACCCTCTTTCTGAAATGATATATTTGTGAGCAGTTTTTCCAAGTTTTGGGTTTTCAACAGAAGCATAAACAAAGCCAGCCAGCCAATTAGACATCAATGTTTAACACTCCTGATGCTGATGCTGCGATTCTGATGCTGTGCACCGTCCAAACGTACACTTTGACTCCTTTGCAATCCACTGATGAAGTGCGCCACATACCTTCTACGACCATCTATTTTACTTGCATATTCATCCTTACAGAAATACATCCCATAAAACATCTCCGGCATTTTACTATTTCTATTTCTACTATTTATGTGTATAGATTTACCCACTACAGACAAACTTCATGGACATGCAGTGTTATCAGGTGTTGTGTTTTTGGATGAGACTTACCCGTTCCCTCTCCTCCTGCTCTCTCTTCTTGGCTTCAGCTTTCGCTTTCTTCTCAGATTCCTTTCTGGCTTTTTCGTCTTCTTTGAATTTCTTTATTCTAGGGTCGCAGCTGTAGGCAGTATCTGCAGGGAAGCAAAACACCTGATCGAACCGACTCATTCTCACCAGTGTGTGCACTATGTTCCATATTGGTGGTGATTTTTACTAAATACTGTTGGGTCGTGTGCAGCTTTGTGATATGCCGTGATATGAGATGTCGCTGTGTGTCGGCTCTGAAGGACTGTACCAACTAGTGTTCGTATTCTGTTCATCTCCTCCTTCTTCCTCTGAGCCCTGGAAGCTCGATTCTGCTTTTCGATCCACCTCCTCTCATCTCGACTGCGGAGGAAAAAACATGTCAGTCAGGAGGTGAAGTCAGAACACACACGCAACCTTGAATTCGCTTCAGTGCTGCGGATGGCCGTGACATGCAGTAGCTCACCATTCAGCCTTTTCCTTTTCTTCTTCATCCAAGTACGAGAATTCCCTCCATGAGTCAAAGTTATACCTTTAAAAGCAGAAAGAAGATCATCAGCTTGTCTTCTCCACTGACTTATAATTCAGTCTCTTACTAGAAAGCAAAAAAAAAAAAAAAAAAAAAAAAAAAAAAAAAATCTACCACTTACCAAAAAGAGTAAAAATTATCCACCTCTTCAAAAGACGACTCTATGGTTCCCAGTTTGGGTACGTGCTTTTTGGAAGACCATCTTGCATTTCTCTCAAAAACGGGAGCAAACACTTCGTAAAAGTTTTCTTTGCCTTCGCTCTTTGAAGGCACGGCGTTGTCGAAGGTGGGATCTACACTGTCGAAGGCTCTTCTCTTCACAGGATCAGACAGGGTTTCTATAGCTGAGGTTCAAACGGTGACAGAGTTGACGTGAGTTCACGCCCCCCCCCCCCCCCCCCCCCCCCAGAAACATTATCAGTGTTGAGAAGAGTCAGTAGCAGTGTTGCATACCTTTAGTTATACAGGTGAAGTAGTCATTGTCTCCTTCTACAATCTGCTCTCCTGCAGCTTTCCTTTTGTCAGGATGGTGCTTCAACACAATCGCTTTGTCTGGTGAGAAACAGCAGAGAAAGAGACCAAAAGACAGTTTTTTTTTTTGTTTCTTTACCAGGCAACAGGAGGGAAAATCATCCACAAAGCAGGAGGAGGAGGGGGAGGAGGAGGAGGAAGGAGACTTACGGGCAGC